CACAAGGGGACATGGAGGTTTAGAGACTTTGCCTAAAGCCATTCAACTAGTAAGTGCTAAGGCTGGAATTCAGGCCATTCTCACGTAGCTAGTTACTAGGCCCACATGCTTGCTTTTCCTTCTCCTAGTGACTCGCCAGAAATGATTTGAAAGAGAGAAAAAATATGTACCAAATTGTTCATCAAGACGCTATAAAAATAGGAATATTAGCTCAGGGGAACACTGGGCATCTATCAATGATAGGTATGAGGGCTATAGCAAAATGAGACAACTCTGCATGATAGAATGTTAAGGGAAAAATGAAGGGTGTGTTCATTCACTGGGGATATAGTTCATACATATGCACATGTGGACATGAGACCAGGCAGCAACACAGATAAAGGACAGATAGTTCACATGTGAGAGGGGTGGGATTGTGGATGAGTATGTCTTTCCTTTCAACACTTAAAAATACAACTTCTACAATAGATGAACACAGGAAAGAAAAAAGCATTTTGCCTAAGAGAAGGATGTTTTGGTGATTCATCTCAAAAGTTCGGGCTAGTTTGAAGTCTGTTTGGGTCCTGCGGTCAGGAGTGCCTGGCTCCTGAGGTTTTGGGGGAAACCTACATCCCCAACAGAGGGTGTGAAAAGAAATGCAGAAGAGGCAAAATACACAAAGAAACTAGAAAAGGCAGTGATGTCAGGGATCAAATACCATCGGATGCTGTGCACAGGGAGCAGCCTTGGCCCCAATAACCTTTTTTTAACAGACTTTTACACGTTTTAATAAAATTGTAATGATAGAAATAGAAACAAAGTGAAGGCCTGCCGACATTAGGTAGTAGTCGGTATGGTCCCCCATAAACATTGAGGGGAGGTGAAATTTTTACAGCCTGCTTATGCAGTTACACGCATGAATTCTGGCGTTCCCAGGGATGTTTTCAGAGCAGAGATCTGCTTTTACATGGAACCTATCTTCGACAGGAGGTGGCACCGAACACCTTAGCTTTCACTTTTTCTAGGCTCCGGGACTGTTTGTGAGTTGATGATCTGTTGAGCTAACGGCACTGGTATACCTTCGGGGTGTCCTCATTAATTTTCGTATATTGCAAATAATGACCCTTTCGTGAATCTCTTTGACCGCTTCAGAGTTTTATGTTTTGGGTTTTCCTAAAAGTGAGGAAAGGCAGTAACGTTACCTAGTACCTGTTGTGTATTTGGTATTATGTTAGATGCAGCTCAGTACTCACGGTGAGACTTCAAGGCATATGTAACTATGAGTATTATAAGTTAATGGTTAGGTGTAACCGCTGACTTGTTTTTCGTCGAATTGTCATACTTTAAGTATATTCTTTCACCTGGGGGCTCTTTTAAGTTCTATTTTTGTTGTTTGCGTGTGAATCGCGACTTCATGTTTTTTGTTTGCTGTTGTATCTTCAGAGCCCAGAATAGTGTCTGATAGTAGTTGCCCAATAAATGATTTCTGAATGACTAACTTAGGAAAGAATAAGTTCATGGTTAGGTTAGAGTCAGGTTCAGATCCCGGCTCAGCTGCTACGATGTTCATGAAGGTGGTGGTGCTCGCGCTGGCGGCCACATTCCAGGATACAACAGGTGGACTCACCTGCATTACACCGTGGTTGAGACCCCAGCTGATGAGGAAGACACACGGGGACAGTGGCCACATGGCCCGGCTGGGAGAGTGAATCTAGTTAGCCAAACAGTAAGCAGAGTGCTTATCTTTTCTCATCCAGGCCTTTCTCTCTGGGCCTTACTTCCCCCATCTATAAAATGGGATAATGATTCCTGTATATGAAGAGGTAAGTGAACAGTTTAGCACAGTGGTACAGAACGGGAACTTAGACAGTGGTGGTTGTTGTAACCCTAACAGATAGAGAAACTGGGGCTCAAAAGGTGAAAGTACTTGGTCAGGTTCTTAAACTAGTGAGACAGCGAGGCTTAGCAGTCAGGCCTCTCATCCTTTGCTCTGTATTGGGTTCCCCTGGCCCACAGGAAGGGGCTTCCTCAGTGTGGTGATGAGCTCGTTGGTTCAGGCACCGACACTTGCTGGTTTCCAGACCTGCGGGAGAGATTCCCCAGGGTACGAAGCAGGAGCTGGCACAGGCAGCAGGCGCACCTCAGGAGTCTGGAGAGGCAGCTAGAAACAAAAAGAGTGAGGAGTTTGGGCAGATGAGAGAGCACTGAGGCTGTAGGGTGTTAAGGAAGAGCGGTGCTTAATGTAGGAGAAGTAAGGTCGCCTTGTGTCACGGTAGCACGTTAGCCTCTGAGACTTCTTCGTACATCACCATCACCACCTGAGGCTGAATCTTCTGAAGCAGGATTTCTTATTTGTGATGTGGAAACTGAGGCATACATACAGTGGGGGTTTGGGGAGGATTATTTTTTAAAGGAATATATTAGAATTGGGAAAGAGATGAAAATACTGCTCAGATTTTTAAGGAAAAGAAGAAAAGTAAAAAGGCAAACTGGTGAGGGTGGTTTTTAGCAAGTACCGTGAGGAGTCAGTGGGGTTATGGGTTGGAATCTCGTCGCTGAGGGTTAAGTGTTCAATTGAAAGAGAAAGCGAATCCTGTCCCGATCTTTGCAAAGAGACAGGCCCAGGCCATACGGCGTTGAGCAGACAATAAGTAGGCTGATGTTTCTGTGTCTGTAGCATCTGAACATCCTGGCCTCTGTATGCAGTGGGCACCAATCAGCTACAGGGACAAAGACAACCCAGAAGGTACATCCTTAGGCCCGGGGTGGGGGGTTAACTGTGCACAAAGCCATTCACACTCATCTTTGTCCTGGCCACACATCTGTGTAAAGCATACCTTCCCCATCTGTATTGCTGTAATTAAATGAGATAATCCATGTAAATAACTATTGCTGGAGTGTAGTGCTGATGCGCAAAGACTGGGCTCTGACGTGATGTGGATGAAGACAGTAGGAAGTGTCATTACCGTCACCTCCTACTCAACTCCTCTTTCTTGCTGTGACTGAGGCCCCAGCAGATGAGGAAGAGATGTGGGGACCTGGGGACACTGGGTACATGGATTGGCTAGAGTTGTGAGTACAGTTAGGTAGAAAGAAGGCAGAGTTCCTATCTTTTGTCATCTCACTGCCTCTGTCCTAAGCCTCTCAGACTTAATTACACTCTTGCAGTGGTCTCCACCCAGGGGTGCTGTGAAGTCCGGGTTTGCCTGGGACAGTCCTGATGTATGCTTGTGGTCCTGGCAAAATTATTAATAATGCGGCTTTTCAGTCTCAGAAGTTTGGATGATATGTGATGTGGTTTCCCACTTCCCTTTGTCTCCCCTCTGAGCTTGTGTTTAGCAATGCCAGATGGAGCTACCCATGGAACGGTTTTGCTTATGTCACACTCCACACAAAAACTTTCAGTAAAGAGGTTCCCAGCCACCTATTGAATAAAGTCCAGACTCCTTAACTCAGTCCTAAGTACAGAGGGGGCGGGGCTTTTACGTGCACACTCGCAGTAGCATCTTGCGGAGTGCTAGTCAAACAGGATAGTCTCAACAAGGACACGTTGGCTTAATCCCTGAATGAGCATGGGCATTCAGGCTCAGGTTGCTTGTCAATTTCTTTTCTTTCTCTCTCTCTTTTTTTTAATGTTTCATTTTTCCAAAGTTTATTTTTATTTGAGAGAGAGGGAGAGAGAGAGAGAGAGAGCAAGAGGGGGAGGGACAGAGAGAAAGGGAGACAGAATCCCAAGCAGGCTCCGTACCAGCCAGCAGCTGACGCAGGGCTCAAACTCAGGGACCGTGACATCATGACCTGAGCTGAAATCAAGAGTTGAGGCTTAACCGACTGAGCCACCCAGGCGCCCCTGCTTGTCAATTTTTTGAACGCGTAATTCTTCAGCCAGCTTCAGGGCCTTTGCATGTGATGTTCCTTCTGCCAGGAATATTCCTCCCTCCCTGTTTACCTGGGGGAGTGACATGATGCCTTCTTAATCTTTAGCTGTCAGTTTAATCCTACTTCCTCTGAGAAGCTTCCCTGACTCACAGATTAGACCAGACTCTCCCTTCTCTCTCTCTCTCTCTCTCTCTCTCTCTCTCTCTCTCTCTCTCTTTCTCTCTCTCCCTCTGCCCCCGTCCCTTGGCTCTCTTGGGAATTACATGTCTATTATTTAACAGCTGACTCTCACACTAAACTCTAACCTTCCCTGTGACAGACGCTGTCTGGTTTCCTGCTATGCCCCTGTTGTGTAGCACAGTGCCTGGCTCATGGTACTCCACAAATAGTTGAGAAAGCGGTAGTGAGTGGGATGAATGAATGTGCATCCCCTAGTAGGCTACACTTTCCGAGCCAGTGCGGTTCAGGCCACTTGCTTCTTAGCACATTTGGGGTAAGTGTGCAGTTCTTACTATCTCCGGCAAGTGCCTACACGCTTTTGGCCCTTCCTACCTCTGCCTCCATTTCCTGCTGCTCTCACTCATCCTCACGCTCTCCCACATACTGGTTTTCAAGCCCCTTCCTTCTCAGACCTCTGCCCTTGCTCCAACATCACCTCCTCCAGCAGGCCCTCAGTGTCCTGCTACCTAAGACAGCACCCCCATCTCCCATTCAGTGGCTTCATTTTCCTCCTGACACTCATTGTGCCCTGGAGGCACCTTATTTGTTTTTGTCCCATCTCCACCACAGAATACAAGCTCCCTGAGAGCAGGGACCTTGTCTGCGATGTCTGTCACTAGAACCTCAGAGCCTGGCAAATGGTTGGTGCTAAAGCAGTATTTGGTGAACGAGGGAAGGAATGAAGGGGCAGGGTGGGATGGCCCCTTGGAGGCAGGGCAGGGGCCCCTTCCTGGAACCCAGTGGCCCCTGGGGCAGGGCCTGTGGTGTTGCCATGGCAACCCACTGACCTGAGGCCCACCCCCCCAGCCCCTGGAGAGGCCACACAGCTGCCCACTTCCTGGGCCCAGACTTTCCACGTGTTCCTGTGTGTCACCACTGTGGGGAGCCCAGGACAGAGGGAAAACAGGGCTGAGAGACAGAGAATGATGAAGAGGAAATCACACCCTGGTGCCTGGGGAGACAGGAGCGGGCCTTGTTGGCATGGTTCCACTGGTAGTGGCCAGGGCCTCGGGGGGAGGGGAAGGGAGGGGAAGGGAGGGGAAGGGAGGGGGGACTAGGGGGTGTGCTGGTACCCCCAGGACCTGGGGCCTGGTCCTCCCTTGGCAGCTGCTAGTGAGTGTGACGTGTCAACTTTTTGATGTAGCATTTCTAAAGCTGTGAGTTCCTAAAATAGGCCCCAGCACAGTGCCCTGAAAGACTGTTGATACAAAGAATATGAATAACGCCTTCTATTAAAACCTGGTGACACTTTCTAAGTCAGGCGGCATTTTCTTCAGGTATTGCATAAGTCAAGAACTCCCTGTTCCCATCTAGTTCCTCAGAAACAAAGCTCGTCGTGTTCACTCCCCCACTGCTTCAAAATGACGGCTGGCTCCCAGCTGCCTGCTGGCTTCTTGGCCTGGTGGGCAAGGCCTTGGCAATCTGCTCCTCACAGACTCTCCCACCTGCCCCCTGCCCCTCCTCCTCCAGTCACCAGTCGGTGGACTCGTCCCCTGTCCCAGAACCCACTTTGGGCTTTTGACCATGACGTGGCCCTCCTGCCCTCTTTGGTCTGGCAGGTGCCTAATCCTTTAAGGACCAGCTGAAATGCCACCTCCTATGTGAAGGCCAAGATGGAAGCTCCCTTCTCTGTGATTCCGTTGCGCCTTATTAGAATAAGAGACCTGCCCCTGGTTACTGCTGGCTCCTCGAGGCAGTGTGTCCCAGTGAGAGCAAGCCAGCCTCAGAGGCAGACAGACCTGACCCAGCTCGGCCACCACCTCACTGGCTGGCTTTACCCAGCTTCTCTGAGTCTCTGTTCCTCCTCAGGGATTGGAATTTGTCGAGTCTCTGCTTCAGGGTTGCCGTGGGGAGTAGAGAGGAGGCATGTGAAGCAGGGGGACTGATGTGGGGGAAATGCCCGACATAAATGCTGAACATTGCATTACTGTCTGTCCTCATTACTCGGCTTGAGCTCCTGGTGGACGGAGACCATGCTTTCCTCACCTTCCCATGGCCCACAAAGCCAACCATGCGAAGTGCTTCACCTGTAGTATTTCAGTTAATCTTTGGAAACTTGGAAGGTAGGGCTTTTTGGAAAGCTCAGGAATCATTCCGATGTTACATAGCTAGGAAGTGGCAAGGCTGGGATTTGAAATCCAGTTGTCTTAACTGTGAACTCCACACTCTTCCCAGCCTGCTTCTGTCCTCTCTTTCATCTGGTACTGTCTCTCCCTTGGTCACTCTGTCAATCACTGGGCCTTCTTGCCGTCCCTTGTCCCATGATCATGGGTCACCCATGATCTCCCCTCAGGGACTTGGCCTCTGTGGTCCCCTCCCCGTGAGCCTCCCTCACTGTACTCAGTCTGTGCTCAAATGCTGCTGCTTCTCAGAGGCCTTCCTGGGATGAGGGTGCTTTCCTTCATCCTGTTCTCTCATCCTACTTTACTTCATCGCAACCCATCACCACCAGCTGTGAGCCTGACACTGTGCCAGGCTCTGGGGGACTAAGCATGGAAAAGACAGACATGGTTGTTAGAACTTATATTTTTAAGGTAGGGAAAATAAAGAATAAAACAAGAATACATAAACAAGATATTCTCAGGTCCAGAGACCTTGGTCCACCAGCGATATCTTGCTGTGATATATTGGCTCCCTGTTAAAATGTATTTGTCATCTTCTGTTACAACTTTACATGAAGGCACTTGATAATTATTTGCAAAATGAATGAATGGGTGGATGGGTAGCCTAAGCTAGAGTGACTTGTCTGTGCCCAGTATGAATTAGCAAGTAGAATAAGCATAGGCCTTGAGATTGAAGATCTGGGTTTGAATTCTGACTTTGATCCCTCTGACTGTGTGTGACCTCAGCCAAACCACTGTCCTGGTCTGGACTCCAGTTTCCTGATGTGTAAAGGGGGGTGAATTTCTGTCTCATGAGGTGGACTGTGAAGTTCAGATCGGTTTCTCATGTCAGTGCACTCTGTAAACTTCAAGGATTACCTGGCTTTGGACTACCATCTTGCCCAGTTTCTCCTGCCAGACCAATATTGCTCTGAGCCTGGGGCGTGCTGGGTCCCTGATGCAGATACTTCGTAGTTGTTCTTTGCTACTGCAAACGGAACCAAACCTTCTATGAAATCCAGTCTAAAGTGGGGAGTCATGAAGATCTGCCTTTAAGGAGTGCGGGGTAAACTCCTTGGAAAGTAAAATCCACAAGTCCTGATTGGCATCCTCCTTCCTGCCCGTGATCCCAGATGAGTCAGATGTAGTGATGCTTCTCAGCCCAGGAGCCGACACTCACAGCTGTCAGTACATCCTGTTGGGAACTTAGAGCAAGTTTGGTTCTTACTAAAAGATCAGATGATTTTTGTGGATCAAGAAAGAGGCAGTTGGGAGCAGGGAGATTAGCCAAGTGTGAACGGAGCTCTCCTCCTGTGTCCCAGGACCCAGTGCCCGTACAGCAGTGTGATCACAGTCTGCCTTGGGTTAGCACCTCTGCTTCAAGCCTCAGTTTTCATGTCTATAAACAGAGATATTAATACATACCACATACTGTTGTTCTGAGATCCCTTTAATTTAAACCACGTATGTGAAAATGCCTTGCAGAAGACCTGGCGTACAGTAGGAACTTAATGTTATTTTTCAAAAAAAAAAGCAAGGCATTCAATGACACATATTATTGGGCAGTATCTACAGGGACGGTCACAGTGCCAGCCTCTGGGTACAAGGTGGGCAGAAAGGCCAGGGTCCTTGCACTCATGAGTTTGGGGAGTAGCATCTGCCTCGCTTTCTAGATGGCAGCTGCAGGGCAGAAGCCAGTCTTCATGTCTGTTTCACTCACAGCTTTTTATTGTAGCTTTTTCTATCTAGAAGGCACAACACAGACATTGGTTGAAAATTGCTTTCTGTATTTGGAAGATCACCTTTGATGTGTTGTACTATTTCATGCCTTATGTGGTAGAAAAAAAAAATTAGGAAATTCTATAGATAGTGGATGTGTCTGCTTATAAGCTGTGCATTCTTTGATGTCATGTGTGTCAATAATGTAACATTTATTGAGACCACCCTATAGGAAAAACTTCATACCAGGTGAAGTGAGAGTCAAAAGAAATAGAGTAACATGGACTTCACTCTTAAGATATTTAGGACCTAAACAGAAGGGCCTGTTATGTATAACAAAGGCTGGCAAAGAAATATGTGAATGAATTCAGCAAAAATTGTAATGTGTAAGTAGGACGTTAGCAGAAGTTCGAACGCAAGGCAGACTGTGATCAGTGATACAGTATTGGCACCGGGTGCTAGAGCCCGTGTGGAATGTAGGAGCGGGGAGCTCAGCCCACACTGGGAGAGAGCTTACTGGTTACGGACTAAGTCTGAATGCGGATCTGCCTCTTACTAGCTGGGTGACTTTGGACAAGTCACCTAATGTCACTGAACCTTAATTTTCTTAATACCACCTACCTCAAGGTTGTTATGAGGATTAAGTATGATGGTATACATGCATAATGCTTAGCCCATAAAGACCCAAGGTATGGCAGCCTTTATTATTATTTTTAAATCACATAATCTACAAATAAATTAGTTAGATGAACAATGCACCTTATTAAAAATTCAGTATACCTGTCATTCTGGTTGAGTAACTCTTGATCTTTGCAAGACCAAAATACACTGTTAGTAGCTTTAAAGTATATACATTTTACTTCGTATTACCTCTTTTTACCTAAAAAGAAGCCTTCCAATCATATGGAGCAGCCTGACTTAGGGGACATGAGTTAGAGATGCTGCTGCTGAGAGCCCCATTTGGGAAGAGGACAAAGGTCAAAGAGCACCTGTGGATCCAAGGCCTGTTTAGACGTCTCACTTTCATATGTGCAGTCCGGAATGTAAGACCTTTGAATGCTCTGAAAACTCCACATGTCCAGAGCAGCAGAGGTGATGGTTCCACCATATTATCTTTGGCACTACTCAGACCATGGTCTGGACCCTCAGAGTTCATCCTGGATGGCACATGTTCAAATAGATATTGATTAACTAGAAGACAGCCAGATGCAGGTGAACTGGATGGCAAAGATGTGGGAACAATTCCTTCTGAGCAAGAGCCAAAACAAGTGAGGTACTTTGACCAGAAAAATGGAGCCATGGTGGCTATCTGCTCATATCTGCCATGTGCAGGACAGACCACACTTACTCTGTGTTGCCCCGGGGAGAAGGACAGGGTAGCAGAGTGGCCACAGGCACAAGTGACGATGTCAGACCTGAGAAGGAGCAGGGGGTGGAGGAAAGGGTTATTTGGTGACATTTATTCTGTTTCTTTCCTGGTGCTTCCGGCCCTCTCTCTCTTCTCATAACCCTGCTTTCATCTCTCTCCAGTGTTGGGCAACATGGGGTAGAGGCACATCATCTGGAAAGTTCTTCCTCGACTTGGGCTCTTGTGGGCTGGTGTTGCACTGTCTTGTCCCTTGGTGTTCAGAGCCAGCTCCCCTCCGGAATGTTACCATGAATTCTTCAGAGACTGTCACACCAACCACTGGGGGTTCTCACCTGCAGGAATAGGCCCTTCCGAGGACTCCAAATTTAACAGGCCTCATCTGGCGCAGGCAAATGAGTGAGAGGTGTTTCTCTTAGTTCCCTGTGTCTGCTGAAAAGAGTGTGTGTATTTGTGTGTGCATGTGTGCATGTGCGAGCGTGTGCATGCCCACACGCATATGAGAGTAACTAGATGTGAATATCTCACTAGGAAGACCAGGGCTGGTCCAGAACAATAGCAATTGCTTTTGGTGGTGTGGTTTGGCGGAGGAACGGGCTGCAGATTTCAGTAGCTGCCATCCAAAAGCAGCCACGGCTGTTGCCAAGGAAATTGTGCCAGAACTCCAAGGGATTAGAAGATCCGAGTGGAGATATTCTGGAGACTCCTGAAAAGAATTCTGGAGATTTGTATCCAGATGCATCTTTGGAGGCGACGTGATGACGAACACCCCACCTTGCGCCGTCCCAGCTTTGAAAACATCACAAGCCATTTGTTTCTACGTTGCGCGGCTGATGTCTGGAAGGGGCGGTGTTTTCATGTTTTGAATTTCTCTGTTGCTCAGTGTTTCCTCAGAAATACCAGATTTCCATTTCCTCTGAACAAGCTGGCTCCTGTTCCTCCCCTTGGATATTTCCCCTTACTTATTTACCATTTAGGGAGCAGCTTTTAAAAGAGCAGTTTGTTGGGATATAAAACAAAAAACCCAACATGTCTCCCTGCGTCCCCCCCCCCCGCCACCCCATAGCTCACTCGTCAGCATCAGCATGGCTTCTTTTGAGAATATGTTTCCCAAGATGTTAACTAATGATCTTGGCCTTGGCCTTTTGAGCTACGTGGAGTCACATTACTTAATCTAAACTTCAGTTGCTTTCTAGGAAAAAAATGGGAGTGAAAATCTTTTCTTCTGGAAGTTGTTGCCTGACTTCAACAGGATAACATATGTAAAGGGCCTGGCATATTGGAACAGGTGTTCAGTAAATGCCATCTCCTATATTATAGAGCCGGCAATGGGAGACTGCACTGTTCAGAAGCACATGGCCATAGGTCTAGTCAGTTCTGCTCTAACACCACATATGCATTCCTAAAACTCCTAACTGAGCTTGGTGCCCTGCAAAACTGCACAATAAAAACCACAGCGTTGATTTAGAAAAATAAACTAGGGGCATAACACTCAAAACCTTTGTCAGTGACACATTTAAAAAATTGGAACGTAATGAAGACGATAGCACAGTTTTGCACATGTTAATGGTTAAGAGGTACACAAATACAATGAATGTGACACTTCACCTTGGAAAAGCCCTGAAAGCCTTGAAAGCCCCAAAAGCCCTGCTTTTGGAAGCAGATGTCAGAAAGGCTGCAGCTTGTGAGCTACTATGAAGTGATCAAACATGGGTTACCCAGGCAGGTGTGGCTCATAACACATGTGGTGAACTAAAGTAACTGGTAGATGGCCGAGGTGTGAGCACGTGTGGATTCTGCATATTCCTGTGGGCTTCAGTGCAGCTATGTGTGCTTTTCTGCATTCCCCTGATGCTTCCTAGGCAAGAAATTGAGCATAAGCAAGCACGAAGTTTGCTCTCTGCTCAAATCATTCCCCAATGTATTACTTGCACTGGAACACATTCTTATTTTCAAAACAAGCATTCTAGCAGAACTGACTGTACTTAGCTGATGTTGAATGAATGAATGCATGCATGCATCCAGGCATGCATGCATGCATGCATGTAGCTGGTCCAGACAATGGAATAAGCATTACACCACAGTGTGGAAAGTACTTTTGTAGACTTTGGAATTGGATTAAAAGAATGTAGTGTTTTGAATTTTAAAAGTCCTACATATCTATTGTAGAGTTTTTAATATGTCCTCCCGCAGTGGCTTTTCGGCCTGTGCTTGGAAGTGCCCCTTCGGGGGTCCCCGGGCAAAGGGTAGTGAGCTATAAGGTTCCCTGCCCTCTTTCTCCACTTCAACCAGAGCCCTCAGGGTTTTATCTGCTTTCCTTTTTGTTTTTGTTTAAATAAAGGGTTCTGCTGCTAACTTACCATCTGCAAACCACCACCAGTCATTTAGTTGACCAAACTTTGTTTTACAAACAACTTCTCAGGAACGTATCTTCTTTGCAAAGACAGATAATTCTCAATTGGTACTGTTGGGCTGTGAATACTCCAGAAGTAGTAGAATCTGACCAGGAAATACTCAACTGGGCTTCAATCACCATTTTGTCTCCAACTACTCCGCAAAGGCTCATCAGCAATGGTGGCTGCTGTGGGGCTTCATGGAAAGTCAAATTCCAGTCGGGGCCAGTCTCAGATGAAAGCTGATGGGCAATTGAATCTAATGTGTTTATGATGTTCTTGTCTCTTCACAAACACCAACAGCATTTCTGCAATTCTGTGATTTTCTTTCCTCTTTCTCTCTTTCTTTCTGTTTTTGTTTCTTTTTTTGTTTTTTGTTGTTTTTTTTTTTTTTTTTTTTTTTTTTAGAGAGCTGGATTGAAAGATGTCTCAATGAAAGTGAAAACAAACGTTATTCCAGCCACACATCTCTGGGGAATGTTTCTAATGATGAAAGTAAGTGCTTGAAACTCATTCTTCCACAATGTCCTAGACATGGCCAGTGTCCTCGTGGGAGGGATAGTGCTTCTTAAATGCTAGGCTTGGGCATGTCACCTGGAACAAGAGACTCTGAAGCCATTTATGGAATACGTTAGGCCCTCCCTGGTATATTCTGTGGTGGGGAATGTAATGTAGTCAGGTAGCCACAGAAATGGGGACACAGCAGACACTTGCTGTTTACATGTTCATATCGTGTAAGTCCTCAGAGAGACCCGATTACAGTGATGCCCCATTTGGGCAAATGTGGACCCTGGATGGGAAATGGGAAAGGCCATTCTCGGTGTCACTGTAGATGTGGGATTAAAGTAGGGTGTCATGGCACCATTGTTTCAGAGTCATGAATGCCCTTGCTCTTTGAAAGTACAGATTTTTCCGGGGTCTTGGACTAGAGAATTGGAGTTAATGGGCAGATATAAACTGCTGTGTTTACACCTTTCCTTGGGTTATGTTAGATTGGGTCTTCTGGGTGCCTCATATTAAGAGAGAAGACTAAGTGGGACTTGTATTTGCTCCCTAAACACTAAAAAAGGGGACAGCTCATTGTAAATATAATTCCCAGCAGGGACAGGTGTCCTTCTCCCTTGGCTGCTAACGTGCATCTCCTTAGTGCAGGTTTCTCAAAGCATGGCCGGGGACACCTGGTCCATAAGCCCCAATGGTGCTTGCTAGATACTCTGAACAGCCTTCTTCTGGAGTCCCTTCCAATAGTAGCATTCTGTCGTCACGATTTTGCTTCATTTTATAAAGCTGAGATAAATTGAACATAAAATACATAAATCTTATGTGAATGGTCTGATGAATATTTGCCCCCATTTTGTCTCTACCTATGTAACCATCAACCAGAAAAGAGATAGAACATTTATAGCACCCTGGGAAGTTCCTTCATGTTTCATCCCTATGAATAAGTACTGTCCTGAATTTTATCACTATGGTTTGCTTTTGCCTGTTTCTGAAACATTATATAAATGGACTTACAGAGTCTGCATTCTTTTGTCTGTGGCTCTTTTCACTCAATGTCTGTGTCATGTAGCCATGCTGGTGTATGTAGTACTTTTTCATTGTCATATAGTATTCCATTGTATGCATATACCATGGTTTACACATCCATTTAAATGTTGATGGTATTTAAATTGTCTCTTTTTTTTTATTCTTAACATCTCTGAGCATTCTTTGTTTTACTGTGCTAATATATGTGTAACGTAAAATTGACCATTTTAACCATTTTAAACGTACACTTGGTGGCATTAAGTACATTCACCTTGTGCAGCCATTGCTGCCATCCATCTCCAAAACCTTTTTCATCTTCCCAAACTGAAGCTTTAACAATAACTCCCCATTCCTTCTCCCTCCAGTCCCTGGCAATTATTATTCTACTTTCTGATTCTATGCATTTGACTATATAAAATAGAGGGACGCCTGGGTGGCTCAGTCAGGTAAGCGTCCAACTTTGGCTCATGATCTCACTGTTCCTGAGTTTGAGTCCCGCGTTGGGCTCTGTGCTCACAGCTCAGAGCCTGGAACCTGCTTGAGATTCTGTCTCCCTCTCTTTCTGCCCCTACCTTGCCTGCAGTCTCTCTATCTCTCAAAAAGAAATAAACATTTAAAAAAATTAAAAAATAGAATCACATAGTATTTGTTCTTATGTAACTGGCTTATTTCACTTATTTCAGGCTTCATCCATACTGCAGCATGTATCAGGAATTTCCTTCCTTTTAAAGGCTGGATAACATTGCATTTTATGTATATTCCCCATTTGGTTTATCCATTCATCCATTGATACACATTTGGGTTGTTTCCACTTTTTGGCTATTGCAAATGATACTGCTATGAACATGGATGTACAAATGTCTGTTCAAGTTCCTGCTTTCTGTCTTTTGAGTATATACCCAGGAGTGGAATTGCTGGACATATGGTAATTCTATTTTTAATATCTTGAGTTATCACCATACTGCTTTCCCCAGCAGCTGCACCATTTTGTATTACTGTTAGAAATGCATAAACATTCCAGTGTTTCCACATTCTTGCCAATACTTGTGATTTTCTGTGTTTTTTTAAAATAATCATACTAATGCATGCAAAATGGCATCTCATGATTTTGATTTGTATTTTATTTCCCTAGTGATTAGTGATGTTGAGCATCTTTTCATTTACTTATTAATCATTTGTATATTGTCTTTGGAGAAATGTCTGTTCAGTCTTTTATCCATTTTTTATTTGAATTGTTTTTTTCTTGTTACTGAATTGTTGGAGTTCTTTATATATTTTTCATATTAACCCCTTATCAGATATGTGATTTACAAATATTTTCTTCCATTCCATGGGTTGCCTTTTACTCTGTTACCTGTGTAACATTGATGCACAAAAGTTTTTAATTTTGATGTAGCCTAGCTTATCCAATTTTCTTTTGTTGTCTGTACTGTTGGTGTCAGACCCAAGAAATCATTGCCAAATCCAAAACCAGGAAGATTTTCCTGTATGAGAGTTGTATAGTTTTATCTCTTATGTTTAGGTCTTTGATCTTCTTTGAGTTAATTTTTTATATGGCATAAGGTAAGAGTCCAAATTCTTCTTTTTTTTTTTTTTGCATGTGGATATCTAGTTTTCCCACCACCATTTGTTGAAAACTGTTCTTCATTAAGTGGTCTTGACATCTTTGCTAAAAATCATTTAACCATGTATGTGAGGGTCTATTCCTAGTCTCTCGATTCTATTCTATTCTATTCTATTCTATTCTATTCTATTCTATTCTATTCTATTCTATTCGTCTGTATGCCTATCTTTATGCCAACACCACGCTATTTTGAAACCGTAGCTTTGTATTAAGTTGCGTGTGTGTGTGTGTGTGTGTGTGTGTGTGTGTGTGTGTGATCTTCTTGCCTAATTGCTCTGACTAGGCCTTCCAGGACTGTGTTAAATAAAAGTGGCAAAAGTAAGCATCTTTGTTTGTTCCTGATCTTAGAGGAAAAGTTTTCAGGCTTTCACCATTGAGTATGATGTTTACCATGAATTGATTGTTCATATAGGCTTTTAGTGTGTTGAAATAGCTTTCTTCTATTCCTATTATTGTTGAGTGTTTTTATCATGATAGGGTGTTAAATTCTGCCAAATGCTTGTTTTGCATCCATTGAGATGATCATGTGGCTATCCTGTTAGTACAGTGTACTCCACTGATTGATTTTTCTATGTTGAACCATCCTTGCATTCTAGGAAGAAAAAACTGCAGCTGGTCATGGTGTACAATGCTTTAACGCACTGTCGAATTCTGTTTGCTAGTATTTTGTTGAGGGTTTTTGCGTTAATATTCATGAGGGCTGTGGATCCAAAGTTTTCTTTTCTTGTAGTGTCTTTGCCTGGCCTTGGTATGAGGGTAATGCAGGCCTCATAGAATGAGTTTGGAAGTGTTCCCTCCTCTTCCATTTTTTGGGAGAGCTTGAGAAGGACTGATAAACATTCTTGCAGATATCCTCTTTTGTGATCTGCCTGTTCACATCGTTTGCCTGTTGGTTTCTTTTTAAGTTGTGCTGTTTGTCTTTTCCTTAATGATTTGTAAGAGTTGTTTTTATATTCTTAGTAGGAGATGTTTGTCAAAAGTATTGCAAACATCTCTCAGTTTGTAGTCTGCCTTTCTTTCTCTTAGTGGTATCTTTTGGTGAACAGAAGTTCTTTGTTCGAATAACATCCAGTTTGTCAGTGTCTTTCTTTTGTTGTCAGTGCTTTTTGTTTTGTATTAAGAAATCTTTGCCTACCCCTGGGTCATTAAGATATTTTTCATGTTATCAATTTTTAATAAAATTGATCTTTTCAAAGATCCAACTTTTAGCCTTGTTTTTCTCAACTGACATCTTTTTTCTATTTCTTTTATTTCTGCTTCTCTCCTGTATATCGTTTTTCTTCCTTCTATTTTCTTTGAGTTTAATGTTTTGTCTTTTTCTAGCTTTTGAGACAGACTCTTAGATCATTGATTTCAATCTTTTCTGAGATAGGCACTTAAAGTTACAAATTTTCCTCTAAGCACTGCTTAAGCACATCCCATAATTTTTCATACTTCCATTATCATTCATTTAAACTCATGTTCTCATATTTATTGTGATTTCTTCTTTTTACTCTTGGTTTATTTAGAAATCTATTGCTTAATTTTCCAAACATTGGCTATTTCCTAGTTATCTTTCTGTTATTGGTTTCTGTTGTAATTCCACTGTGGTCAGAGAACATATTCTGCCCAATTTCAATATTTGAAATTGTCAAGACTTGCTTTTTGTCCTGACAGATGGTTTATTTTGGCAAATGTCCACGTATACTCATAAAGAATGTGTATTCAAGATATGGATGAAGTCAGATCAAGTTGTTAATGGTATATCTTTTTTTAATCTTCCTATTTCCAACCTTTATGAATTCAATATTAAGGTTTTTAATATGTGTTTGAAAAAATCCCATATGATAATCTATATCTAAATTGGAATATTTAGATCATTTAATGTAACGCACTTAAATTACACTTTTGGGCTTAAATCAACAAATGTGGTATATAATTTTGATTTGTCACATCTGTCTTTATTTTTTTGTGCCTTTTTTGAGAGAGATGGTGCAGTTTAAAATTTTTTCTTTGATGTTTTCCTCTGCTGACTTTCCAATGACATAGTCTTTACTAGTGGCTATCTTTGGGGTTACGACATGCACCCCTCCTCTCACGTCTGCCTCACGTCACTCCTTCTCCAGTTTCAAGCCCAGTGCACAAACACACACACACTTGAACCCCATTTACTTCTCTCCCGCCCTCTGTACTGTTGCCTTAATGTATTTTACTTCTACGTTTTAAGCCCCATAAGACATTGCTACTGTTGTTTTAAATAGTCAATATTTATTTTTATTTATTCACATATTGACCCTTTCCAGGGCTCTTGATTCCTATCAGAAAGTCTGTGCTTCCACCGGGGATCATTTTTACTTCAAGCCAA